ACGGAGCGTCTATTTGCGTACCGAAGTCTCATAACTAAACATGATACGGGAATTCCTCATTTCAGGGGATGATTCTAGCAAACCTGCGGAGGATGACCTCCACGTGATCACGGCACTGACTTCACAAAACGGCTTAAAACATAACTGAGTGATTGACTGACCGTCGCATTTGAGGCTTCCCATCCTTTTCACCATTACAGTTGATGGCCTCCTGTTGGAAACTCTTCATGTTTTATGTGGAACATGACAGAGATCTAGTTCTTGGGAAAACCGTACGATTGCCTTGAGGAATTGTATGCACTGCACACCGGTATTGGATGGAACACCATCTAGCTGTCAGAAACCGTGCGCACTATGCTGGATTGTCATTTTGATATATCTTTCGACTCCCTGGATGAGGGCCGTTTGTCGGGCGAGCTAGTACTGGCAGGCGTCATACCCATGCATAAGAGTGGCCTCCTCCGTAAGTTACCAATAACAGGCTCTGGTCTAATGTTGGTTCTGTGGAGAATTGCTGGACAAAAAATATGAGGATTAATTCAACTGCTCCCCGATGAAAATGGCTTAAACTCTACTCCGCAACTGTACAACAGATCTCGCTCGCCAGAACAAAGCAGACTAGTGTGTGATGCCGCACTATAAGTTATTGTCGTACACGTGGGCTTCAGGAAGATATTCTGTGAGATCACTCATTATCGACTTCCCTGAAAACTTTGTTCATATCAGGCTCAGGGGAAGCTCTGACGTTGAATGTTCAATTTTGTCTCCAGTCGCCAGGTTTAAGGCAAGGCCAGGAAAACTTTGACTGCGCTGCAGTTTCCCATGAGTTGATGTTGGGATTCACATCAGCGCTCCAACGTGCTCGTGTGATGTGTGCAGATGGTGTTAAACTCACGTTAGAAAGAATTTGAGACAAATCTGTGCAGAGCTCGCTGTTCGCGATATGCTATCTTCAGTTGGTCGGAGGCATGAGAAATATCCATCAACTTCTCAGTGCTTTTTGTTACAGAGCCAAACTCCCATATTGATAATACCTTTGATAATACTACCTTATTCTTCGCCGTCGTCAATAGAAAAGGCTATGAGGATAACGGTCTTCTAGCCCAGCCTCGAGATAAATGGTATCTCTGATCCAACGTCCGACCGAGTCTGGGGTATGGTCAACCTACCTTATTCCCTCTTATCGAATAGAAAGGCGACTTTGTGGTGAGGGTGCAGCAAAGCCAAGTGGCGTGCCGTTTTCCGTTTTCCTTTGGACCACTTAGTCACCAAGGAGACCTCGTACACCTGTCGAATCCCAAAAATAGAGAAAGTAGGCAGAAATGAAAAATTTCCTCACTACGAACTGCTGATGCCTTAAAGGAAGATAATCTCAGATCAGCATTATTATATCAATTACCGTTCTCTCCAGAGTCTGTTGATGCCAATTCAGATGAACTTTTCAAAGGCAATCTTGGTGTTCGTTTGCGGTGCAACCGGCAGACCGGTGGTGTGTTCATGTTCAAACCAGATTATCACTTGAAACGACTTCATCCGACTCCAGTATTACAGTGTTTCCCTCGTTAATTGATTGGGCTGGCATGGAAGTCTCCGTTCCGCCCTCTTGAATGAATGAATATGCCCATATCAATGTGATCTTACCTTTGACTTTATTTCCCCAAGATACTGGTCTTCCAGCACGTTGGCTGTGATAGATCGGTAGTGCCTTGATCACTCCGTTCGCTCGGGGGCCCTTAAAACCTGGTGCCTTTGTACAAGGTCCTCACAACGAAGCCAGTAGCTCCGGCTAAATTGATCCATGTGATGCAGATGATCTCCATAGGAAGGCCGGTGCCATTCACGTTCTACCTTTGTACTTCTCTAGGTTTATTCTAAGAGGCTTTTCCTGCGTCCACTGCTGACGAGAAGCAAGTTAACCGTACTACGGAATGTAGTAAATATGGCAGTTAACAAGTACAAGGGAGTGTAGAACAAAAAGATCCAATCGTTCAAAGAATTCTGGTAGTGATTGCTACATTCCACTTCCTGTCTGCTGTCGTTTTCCCTTGCGAAGTCATTACCATCCTGACAGGAGGCATCACGAAGGAAGTGCATCTTAACGTGGCAATGTTTTCCTGATGGATAACAAGCAGGATCTATCCTACGAGTTTGGAGATGCTTGAAGCTCCTCTGCTTCATCGCCAGACACGACTGTTCCCTGTATTTTCAGATCGTCTGCCCACCACATACAGTCAAGCCTGACAACACTTGGAGATCACTCACGGAACCATTGAGTACAATTTCGCCATGTACGGACTCCTGAGGCACCACTCTTCAGCGGGTACAACGGTGATAAAGTGCCGTTGACACACCAGGACGCGTTAAACCAACACAAGATATTACCGTTCTTTGCACAAGCTCCCAAAGTGATATGTAGATGCTCGTGAGGAACTTCACAAAAGGCCTTGCTGAAATCAACACCTGGTTAAATTCTGGTGTCCAGGGCACCTGTCGACTTTTTTACGAGAAGGTTTGTGGCACATGGGTGAAGCTTTCAAAGTCTCTGCTGTTTGGATATTTAGGCCTCATTGTGCTGCTACCCGTTGGTTTTGAACATAATCATGTGCGTAGCTAGGAGGCGAGATTTATGAGCCTGTCATCCTTTCCATAGCATTGAACCAATCCAAACCTGTCAAATCTGTGCTGAGTGTCTGTGTGTTATCCACCGGCTTCCAATGTTCCGGTCACCAACTGATATCAAGAGACCTTTTACTCTTTATAGAGTTCCTCCCTTATGGTTAGATGTGATTCAGATACGGAGCTATAAATGCTTGTCCCAGAGTTCACCGCTCCCCATAAAACGAACCAATGCAAGTCGGTGGGATATCAGATTCCAGGCGGTTAGTGCATTGGTAACAGGAGGAGGGGCGTGGTGGCTCACTAACGAGAGCGCGAGTTTACTGACCGGAAGGTCCGTGGTTCGAGCCGACATCTGCATTTCGACTTCCCTTGTATAGGCCTGGGCAAAGTGGCAGTATCCCGGCTTTCGTGTTTCCTTCTGGTAGCATAGTAGCTAGACCCCTAAAGGGTATTACAGCTGATGAACAAACACACACATACTACTGCATTCGAAGAACCACGGGTGCTTGCGTTCTCCACAGGCTCATTTTAATACAGCTATTAAAAAGAGTGTCGCGTCTTATGTTGTGATAATGCATCCATGAACGAGTTAGCAGAGTCTGGTTTATCGAGGACAAACAACGTTTTACCTGTCTAAGTGTAGTAACGGCATTTTCCTCAGCTTAGTTCTCGGTCTGAGCCTCCCAAGCCAGCGTTCACGTCAAAACAAACACCAATGGTGCACAAGGTCTATTAATGCCCAAAACGAAGTGAAGAACAGTTGTACAGCGCTTCGTATATATAGCGTAAGCGGTTATAACTTTCTGGAATCTCTGACGCGTTCTGGATGCGGCATTGGCAACCGGCATTTGGTCATGATTGGCTGTTGGGTCCAGAGTGTTGACCAATCAGATCTCGTCTTGATGCCGGACCGGCAAGCATCCCGAATTCTGGGCCAACCTCGAGCGGGCCAGGCTTCTCGGCCGTAGCAGCGCCTGGTGGGATCCGTGTGGTTTCCTGCCTACCACTAAGACACGTGGATGAGCTGAAATATACATACAAGGATTCAATACGATTATATAGGGTGATTATACTACTAAACAGACAGCAGTCATAGAGTTCACCCCGGCATCGTTTGAACGGGTGCTTGAACTGACGTATATAGGGGACGATTTACAAACGTTCGTATGCAGTACAGTTAGCGGCCTTTAATAACAGTGACAGGAGACTGTGTCGAGCACCAGGGAGTGGCAATTCCCAATGCGATGGCAACAGGTCGTAGGTTTCCAATGCCGAGCTTATTGTTTTACGGAGGGTACCGTTGAGACGTTCGACATGATCGTCGTACTGTGGATTATAGGTCGATGTGTAACTCATAACAACACCTGTATCCATGAGAAAGATTTTGACCTCTGACGACATCAAGGATAAGACTGTCGGAATGGATATAGGGTGGCATTTCGAGTATGCAGAACAGGCAGTCAATCACAGTTGCAGAGGTCATATCCGCACACACAAATGTAAATGGGGATCTGGGGACCTCATGAAATATCGTGAGCCTGTGTGGCTTGCATGTATTAGATGGTAAGGAACCTTGAAGATCTGAACTCAGGCGCTCAAAAGGTTATGTTGCCTTAATGGGTCTACCAGATGGTCTCCAGGATCTTGGCTTTAGCCCGGCACATCCGTTGCGGGAGGAAAGAACACATTGGACATCGTCGACGGTTCTTCAATGTTTGGGTTAATGCATTCTCATCCACGCTTGTTCTTAGACGAGTAAATTGATACGTTCAGAATGCGTCGAGAATGAGTTGTAAGAAAGTCCGAGCTATCTAATACAGACAATGTTTTACTTGTCCAAGAACAAACATTGTTGAGCTGAAATATATACAGAGATTAAGTAGGCATATACAGGATAATTATAGCACTAAACAGACAACAATTATGACATTTTTAGTCTCTGTTTGATGTCTTGCGCCGTATATTCGCTGAAATGCACCTTTCCAGCGTCAGATATGAAGTAGATAACTTCTACTTGCCCTTCAGGCGGGAACAGTCCTCCGCTAGATTCAGTCCTTATTAAGCGCTCGTTTCCTTGTGAATTTTAGATGCTGATTCGGTTTTCGTGGCACCATAAGCCATAACCTGTACAACCTGTCCACTAGAAGAGACCTTAGTAATCAAACGTTCAACGTGCGGTTGACCAGTTTACGGAGGAAACGAACTCTAAGTAATCATCGTGAACCTCAGCCTAGGTGTTTTTAGTCATGGAGTGTGTTGAGAGGATGGCTCGGGGATATGTTGGACCTATGTTACCCGTACTTCCCATTTGTCTTCATTACAGCTTCACAGGGGAGGGGCATTCTAAATTCCCCTTACTCTCCGACGTCGTTCTAAAGGCTATGTCTGGAGTCCATTCTCATTCTCAAGAAAAGGAAGATAATAGCGGAAAAAGTGAAAGAGAGACTGAGCTCCTCGTACGATGCTGTGTGTGCTCTGCCGTTGATGCTTATGAAATATTGCCCGTCTGTTTACACTCCGCTTGCCGTCAGTGCACTGCTTCATTAAAGGCGAATGGGGGGTACAAGTGCGCGTCTTGCAGTGAATTCAGCCCAACGGTATGTAGCTTATCACCTTGATTACACCTAAAATAGCTTATCAGCAATCCCATACTTTTCAAATCCGAAAGCCTGCAAAAGTCTCCCAACTGTAATTGGTGTCATGATAACGGTGAACAAACGAAATCGATCGGAAACTGTAAGGAGTGTGATGCATGGCTCTGTGGTGAGTGCTTGAAAGGACACAACCGAATGCCACCACTCCGAAGCCATGGCATTACGATGCTACCGAAGTCGGCTGGTCAGGGTCAGTTTTGTTTTCCGTCTCGAATGTCTATTTGAATGATGTATCAACGTGCCATTTCCCATTTCCAGAAGTGTTCCGCTTATTTAATGTCTACGAAGCATGGTCAAGCGCCATGCTGTAAATTTATGGTCTGGTAACCCAAGAGAACTTGGATAGTGAAGTTGCCTATTCAAGATTATTAGTTGTTTAGACGTTACTGCTGGCATCTGATCTAAGTTGAACTGATGTTCGTCACATCTAGATAAATAAACCATGCATACTCCCTGTTCGTGATTTCTGTATCCTTGAAAAATCAAAAGTTATCATAGGATTTAGAGGTAGTGAATCTGAACCCTGTTGACCGAACTTCATAATAGGGCACTGACCGCCAGGTAGTCCGTTGTTTCGCGACAGTTGGTTACTATAATGATCCCGTGTTGTCGCAAACATAAGCTCGTTTGAAATCCAATTGGGTCTCCGGAAATCGGTACTAGGTAGTGATTGATCGGCTCTACGTCTTTCTTGAAGATCCCGATCCGTGCTCTGGAATGTTCTTCGAGACAGCACTCCAAGCATGGTGAAAAAAACCCGGTTGAAATTTGCGAGACGTTTAGAATGTTTCCGAGAACCAGTTAAAACAGAGCCCGAGTTTTCGAGGATAAGTGACGTTTTACTTGTCTAAGAATAAGCGTGGATGAGCTGCAATGTACATACAGAGGTTCAATACGAATATATATGGTAAGTATAATAATAATAAGCACAAAAATCACGACAGTTTGCAGGTCTAATTTTCAGGTTTGCAGACAGTGACCGAACCGTTGAACCCGTCACCACTTCGGTGATATCCATGCTAAAGTAGCGTTCTCTGACCACAGGTTTGCATACTTTTTTGAGTCGTCGAACTTTCAAGGTACGCGGCGGACGCCATTGACAAAAAACTTCGAGTTTGCGGATATCTTGTGTAAGAATCGGCAAAAACCTCGCAACCATGAGTGAGGAATCAGTGGATTGTCACTTTAGCCACCCGGGCTTTTGTGTTTTACTTCTCTTTCACAAAGTCTTCATCACTTGAGGGTGTGTGTAGTTTGCCGCGTCAGTACGAAGTTGAATCTTTTAGTGTAACCGTTGTGTAGAAATCAAATATCCAAACGTTTTGGCGCACTCGATTTCATAACCTATACGAGGATTACCCCGTGGACGTTTTTTGTGGAAAGGGCCTTTATTTTATTAGTGTCGGTTACCAGTTCGATGGTCCCTGCATGACACGTGACTCGATCTAGAACGACTTGTAGATCTACGTTTCCTCCGAGATATTATTCATCAACATACCTGAGGTGCGCACTCCAAACTTTTCCGCTTGGTTAAACGCCAGGGTATTATTTCAGTGTTCTTTTCATCTTCATCATTTTCACATTGGAGGCGATATGAAAATCGATAATCTCTTTACCACAAGCTCGAACTTGCCCCTTTCTTGATGTGTATTTTGCTCCGTGATAATAGACAGGTTGGCTTCTGTCATCAGAAAGAACGATAGCCCATAATGGTCCATGACAGATTGGATTAAATGCTGCGCGAGAATCGATAACGCTACCACTGGTCTGCTCCTGAAACCCAACCCGAGTTCTCGAATTCGATGTAGGGCGAACATATGATCTACACATCTTCCGTGTCGCAAACCACAATTATTAAGTCGTGCTCGAGATGGCTCAGTGGTTAGAACGCGAATTTAGTAACCGGAGCGTTCGTGTTTCGAACCCGACCACTGCCTCTCGATTTTCCCTGTCTAGGCATGGGCAACATTGTAGTATCCTAACCCTCGTGCTTCTTTCTGGTGGCATGGCAGTTAGGCACCGAAAGGGTGCTACAGCTGAGCGATCTCGATTCGAGTCTCCCGTACTTTTGGAATTTCCTGAAAGTACATGGTGGAAGATCTCAGTTGCATGCTAATTTTGCGTTCCAATTTGTTCCCTTTTGAGGTGAGAGTGGAATCGAAGATGAGATGCTATTCTTTTTTTTTTTGGGGGGGGGGTTTCATTTTCGAGGTATATGAAGTAATCTATGCTCGCTTCGTGATGTAATCAACATAAATCTTCGATGCCTTTTGAACGAAACACGGACAATTGGGTACTCACCGGAAATAACCGATTTCCAAGAAGGTGAAATCAGCAGGTTGTCAATTAGGTTGTTATGCTTTCAGAGATGTTGATGTATGTCTCTGCACCCGCTGGAGTGGTGCTGGTGCGTCTCAAGGTGCTTTTGTCCGGTAGCCAGACATTTGACTCTCGCGTGGTCAGTTGACAAAGGTTTAACGACCACAGTCTCCTTGCCTTCCACTTTGAGGAGTAAGGTGGGTATGGTCTTTTGTTCCATGAGAGCGAACCACTGTGTTGATCATCGACAGACCACCGCTTCCCTGAGGTCAGGCTTTTTAGTAGAAGGCTTTGATTGAAACCCTTCTGTCTGGGCTCAGAGGCTGTGACATACACAAATACAAACACCCATGTTACATTGGGCGTCGAGTGGTGGCAGCCGACCCTCTCTGTTCGCTTACTCCAGCAGATGATGAGCGAAAACATGCGAGTGCTGCCACCTCTCACCGTTCTCCATTTATATCCTTGAACCTCTCCTCTTCAATATATCCCGACCGTAAATGCGTCAGTCAGATACACAGAGAACGTTATCACTTTCATCTGCTACTCCATGTTCATTATTCGGACCTTCTGTTGTTTCCTATGTTCGAGCTCCAAACACATTGGTCTGCAGGTTACTCTCGTGCTCATTTGTGATATTTTGTTTATTGGCGATGATGGATATGCCACTCGCTTTTTGCTATTGGTTTCTGTTTTTTTCCACTAGCCAGTTGTAGCTACAATTCAGTGAAAAACGAGGTGGTGTTTTGTTAAATTTGGACGCAGCACGTAGAGCTGACGGGCACCATCGTTTGCAGTTTTGTACTGACCACGTTTTTTCCCAGCAGTTCCTGGTTTAGACATGATGGGTTACGGTGTCCTAGTTTTGAAAATCCATGGGACCAATTTGATCATATAGCTATTAGCTCCGTGGGCCATGCTCAGTACTCAATTCGCGGCCATTCCAGAGCACCTAAGTTGATATAGATCGTGATCTCGTCCAGCGTAGATCCCCATCAAGTTTCTCAGGTAAACCTAGAGAACAAACTTATTGTCTGGTAGTCCAGTAGTCTGCACCACTATAACGCTTTGAGTGTCTGCCGTCAGTAGGGTGTCAAGAGAACTGTGGAATTAATAATCACTGTGGTACAAGACGCTTAAAGCTCTCGGTGTGGTCCGCTTGGACGATCCTCGAACGGCTAAACTTGCGTCCCCCTTTTCAGGATGGATAGGCTGGCGGGAAACTCGTCTACTGTTATATATCTCCTTTCTACAGAGGTCACCTAGTGGACGGCGTAATTCATCAAAGCAGATTGTTTACCATTTTCACGCGGTCCCAACGGAAGGATGTAGATTCTTTTGATAGCGTTGTTTACAGCAGCCCCGACGGAAGCTCCTCCACTGTTTTCTTCAGAGGATTTTTCTGCACGAATATCAATCCGATAATTGCAGGCTTTCGATCGTTTGCCTTCTGACGCCGTAATCCATTAGGATGTTAGAGTGAGTGCCGTTCACGAAATTCATAATGTGGTAGTTACACTCTTTAGCAAGCTCTAGGTTGCAGCTTATGTGCACATCTCTAATCATCCGCCCTTTATCAGCGCTGCGATCAATGCAAACAATGACCACCTTACTCTTGGTAGTTTAGCCAACGTATGTTCCCGTGCATGTTTACGGCACGCGGAATAACCATACAGATACTCATTTTTTTCGCGTCAACTCCGTCAGTTCGTGAAGTAAAAGGATGACTTTTCAAACAAGGTGCTTCGGAATGGTGGAAGAAGCTTGGGTGTTTTTCTTCACTTCTTTTCGAGCAAGCTGCCCTAAAGAAGACACCCCATCAAGGGCACAGTTTTGGAGTTACGGAGTTGAGAAAACCGGCCGTTGTGACTCAGATGGCTGCAGTTGCCGAATATCAAACAGATTCACTGTTGCGTTAGTGTTTACGAATCACGGGTATTCGGTAGTGTCGAATATCGGGAGTATCCACGTCAGACTGAATAGGAAATTCCATCTCCCCAAAAGCTCTTGAAAACTGTCCGCATATAGGTGAAATTTGATTACCACAGTGCAGAAAGCATGTGTTATGATTACCATTGGTCATCTCTCCCGCATCAGGGGGATATTTTAGAATCCTCGGAGGCGTTTCCTCGGAAACAGGAGTGCTGTATAAACAAACGTAATAGTATGGATCCCGTGTGGACTAAATGCAGCAACACCTTTCTATGATCTGTGCCTACTGCATTACACCAGATTCAACGTGCAATACAACACTAAAGTTTCCACAAAGTGTAATGCACGATTTGCTATACTGTTTCGAGAGGACTTCAAGTGATCTATACCAGTTCTCTACTTTCCCGGCAGATTCCGTTGGAATTTCGCTCTTTTATTAGGGCCGTCTCGATTATCCTTTTCGTTATTCATCGTAGGTTTCCAGTGCGACACATCCTTGGACTAAGCATGAAAAAAGTGAACCAATCTTCAGCCCTCTCAGTACAGAAACCCTTTTTCGGTATGGATGGTTACATGGACTTGTTGAAGTGCATAGTCCCCTCAGTATGCTACACAGAAAGTAAGAAAATACATTGATGAGTTGGATTGTTTGAGCACTATCCAGGACAACCAATGTAGTCGAATATCGATTGAATAGGCAACCGAAAATATCAATAGGTTACAGTACTGTTTCTCCCTTTTCGCAACATTCATTAGCGGATGTTCTAGATGACAAGTTGACTTAATTGAAGGTTAGTTCAATCATTCACGTATGCAGGATTCAACCTATTTTTACCTACGGTCAGCATGTAAGGTTTGGAAGTCAGAATAGGCCATTATTAAAATTTTCATACTTGAAGTCTTCCATGAAGAATATTACGGCTTAGTGTTCGAACAATTCTCACTATGTTTCGCTCTATTTCAGACGGCCTCCACTGCGAACTTCATCCACGTGAAGCGCTTGAGTGCTTTTGTGAAGCTTGCGACAAACTGACGTGTCGAGATTGCCAACTCTCAATCCACCGGGATCATGGAAGTCATCGGTGGGTCGGTGAGAAAGCAAACTTACTCACGGCCCCACTAGAGGAAGCGATTCATCAACTGGAGCAGTCTCAGAATAAACTTGCAGAGGCATCACAGTTGGCTTTGACTTCAAGCACTAGTACAAAGGATGACAGCTTTTTGGGCAGCGTGGAAAAGACACGTTCAGCCATTGAGGCCCGGGCTTCTTCCCTCATACTTCGCATTCGTTCGCGCACGGACGCACTACTACAAGAGTTGAATGCCAAATGTATGGAAAGTGTAAATAAATTGGTGGCATCCGAAGGACTTATGAGAGAAATCCAGGTAAGTTTAGCCCAACAGTTGGCCCCAAAAACAATAGGCTAAAATGCGTTATATTCCCAGTGGTGGACAGCAGTTTTACCTATTCGCATGTAGTTGTCCACCGTTTGAAAGAGGAATCGCAGCTTGAGGATCTTTTTTCTTGCAATAGAACCATTTGTGTCCGTTGTCCACAATTAAGTAAATTGTCTATTTAACTGATCTGTATACTGCGAAAGTATCTGTTGAAGCTCTTCCATCAACCTATGAATGAGTTTTCTTGCGCATTTCAGCTCCTCTGTTCATGTTAGCACGCCTGTCTTCCAAACAGAATGAACGGGGTATCACGGATGGAGTGCCGTAACTCACTGTCCGATAGCACCTAATGGAGGTGACAAGGGTAACAAAGTGAATCAATGTGAGAACTATGAAGTCAAGCCTATCTCCATCGCCGCACTTCCATCTATGTGAGCCAATGTGGTCTAGAACCTCAATGGAGCAGAATCATATCGTTGTCTTGGTTGCACACTCCGTAGGTTAGGTCCCTCGTAGGTAACACTATCTTTCAAACGGTTACCTTACGCTGTTGACGTTGGAATTCTCCAAAATCCTTCAGTTGGCACTTACTGTGTAGCGGTCTTGAAGGAAATACTGTCGATGAGGAGACCTTTGGAGGTACGGTTTTTCATTGGCATCCCTCTCTAGCAAAAACTTCAGAACCAAAGAGGTGTCCCTACATATGTCAGTTATTCCTCACGTCAAAACAGCATATTTGGTCCCATACTGAACCACCTCTAATGCCAACCGACCCCATATATAGAAAATTAAATCAGTAGTAATTACGGATTCCAGGCCCTTGATTTTTAGGCACAATTTAAGGGTTTGGTACATCGGCCGACGAAGTAAATAGAATTCTAAATACGCACATTCGAAATATGGAGTGGAGAAACTTCTGAGTTCTGTGTTCTACTTGTAAGGCATGACAAGTTTACCGTCTCTGAAACGATAAGGCTTTTCCAACCATTGCTACCACTGTTTGATGTCTTAATGAGTTGCTGATTTGCTTTTCCCTCAGGATCAAATAAGGTTCACTCTGTCATTTGCTGATCGCCTGATTAAAAATAAGGACAGTGATCCGGCCAGCTTGGTTCAATTGTTCAAAGCAGTACAGGCTCGAATGCAGCTTCTTCAGAACAGAGCAGAACATCTCTGGATGGATGCACCACCGTCGATGGATACGAATGAACCGACGGTCGACCAGACCCAAGCTGATTATAGTTCTTGGCGCAAGAACAGTCTTGGATGGCGTGATACTGCCAATATGCGGGCCCTATTTATTGCTAACTGGGACCCTGATGAACTAGCTAGACATTCTGGTACAATCACATGGCTGCCTGTTCAGCAAGCTGGATCCAATCAGCCTGGAAATAACGAAGACACGAACATTGTTAAATCAGTACACAGTGTCGCTACTGACAATGTAAGTTCTATGTATGTAAGTGCCTTCATATCCAACTAGTTGTATTGCTTGTAGGTAGTGAGGATGTTTTGAATTCTCTTTTGAAGTTTCATCCTGCGGATGTAGCCAGTCTATGTTAAAAATCCGACAACCGCCTCAACTTCTTGATCTCAGTTGAGTATCACAAACTTTTAGGGAGGTTTGACCTTGCCATCTTCCAGTTAGTAGTAGTAGAATGCAATAAGTCTTTGAGCAGTAAAGTGATCATACTTAGACACAATGTAGCGTCACTCGTTTCTCGATCGCACAAGCCACGTCAAGTGGTAAGGTGTTGACTGTTCCCTAGAGTGAAGACTTCTCAGCCACAGGGTCCTCCAATCATTTTGAAGCGGACGATCTGTCAAGAGGATCGTCAACTTTCTGCGGGATCTGACTAAGTAAATTCAGTCCCGGTGGTCTCTCGAAAGATGTTATTTCCGTCCGGTTTGGGAAGGTCAGAGCAGCTTTTGTGGACGTGCATCACCTGTGGCACAGGTGTGACATAAGCTTATCCGTCTAGGGTCGAGTTTGCGATGCTGCGGTGCGCTCCATACTACTATACGGATCAGAAACCTGGTCGTTGCGCGCTGAGGACGTTAAAAGACTTCCAGTGTTTGACCGTCAATGTCTTTGGAGCAATCCCCGAGTCTGATGGGAGCATCGGATCAGCAATGCTGAAATACGTCCAATGGTATTCGGGAGAAATAACTCACCCTCGATAGATGAACTGAACACGCTGCATAGGTTGCGATGACTTGGACATGTGCTGCGTATGTCGGCCGACCGAAGGATTCTTTTCGCACGACCATGTGAGGGGTGGAAATGAGCCAGAAACGGTCAAACACTGAATTGACAGCGAATTATGAAAGCGATTACCAGTAAACTCAGCTGCGCTGGTCACTGCCGTCTTCCTGGATGGGGACCCCGAGATGGGCAACATCAATGGTTGGAGACATTATTAGACATGACCCAGTCGCGCCCTCAATGGCGCTCATGCATCCAAGCTATTGCCTTCAATGCATAGCTCCCTTTCCACCCACCCCCCACTTAACAGTCCACCGACAGTGCTGTAGTTACGCACCAACTTATCAGCTCCCACCTCAAATGCGCAGCTATCTACCCCACCTTACTAAATCATTGGTGAACGAAACTGTAGCAGCTATAACCACTGTACGACAAGTACGCGGTCCTAACGGTTGACAGTGATGATAATGATGCTGATTCACTAACACCTGCTAAAAAGCTGTGGAATTATGGTTTATTGACGACCTTATTCGGGTGCCTGCGTCAACTCTGGTGCCACAGTAATCCACAATCGACAACGAGTAGATTGAAAGGCTGTCATACATTCGAGGAGGATCATTATCTTTTCTACATGCGTTACGGTTCAAGCATAAATTACTCACTTGAGTATTTTACTAAGTAGTGCTGTACAGATGTTTCATCCTCGCTGTGAATCATCAGCAGTACGGGGACTTCACTTTGAGAGCGAGTCCTTGGTTGAAACTTCCAAATCTCCTCCTACTGTCAACAAACATTTTTATGTCTGTACTAAGCAACCGTGCTGGGATCTTGCGCGCATGTTTCAAAGATGGTGGACGTTAGCCGAGGGTGAAATTAGGCCAAATTCGATAGAGGCCGCGGACGCCAGGAGCTATAATATGGCGTAAGTCTCCTCAATCGATCATGTAGTTTTGCTGTCCAGGAGACGATGTGGACGGGGAAACGTGATAAATGGTTGTCGAATCGGCCTAGCTACATTCAGGTCAGAATTGGGGAACGGTTGTGGATCTGTTGAGCGAAACGCTACCAAAGCGAATAATAGGCTCGGCTGTCGAAGCCGAAGAAGAGTGTTTGACACTACTTCCGTCGTGATAGGTTGACTTTAAATCACCCCACAAGTTAGTTAAAATATGCTGGAGTCATTCCTTCACTCCTAGCCATCAACTTAACAGTCCGTCCAAAAAGGCAGCAGGCGTTAGGATTTTCCTGAAGGACTCTGTTCTGAACCAATGACTCAAAAGTCTGGTTAATTTGGCTATGGAGCCTAATCCTTCTGGGTACAGCAGATACTTTGGAGTATCATAGAGCCCTCTGTTAGATGCAGTCGTATTTCGACGTTTATCGGATCAGGCATCTGCCTTAGCGGTCTGTCTGGCAATCGCTGCGTGTGGTCCTCAGTTTCGAGCTTTTGAGGTCCATAATTCCTTGGACTTCCTTCCAAACTATTGAAACTCTGTTTGTTTAGTGGAACTCCTCTCCTGCCTTTTTCTCCTGTTGTAAGAAATAGTATGTCTTTACTCCTAGACCGCCTCCTAATACGAGGGGTTGCTGCCTTTTGTCTAACTGGTCCCTTGCCATTTGTTAGCATTGAGGAACCGAATTTCAACCCTGTGATATCCACCGGAGCCTAACCACTAAATCAAGGTGGCAGCCTTTGGTTGGAACACCAATACAGGAACAGGTTGACCAGGCCAGAGATGTACGAATACAAAATACACTTCATTGATTGCTCTCAGAAACAGGCAGCTTATTAGGTTGATACTTGAATCACTGAAATTAAGCTCAGGTTCTTACCCTGAGAACGGTTGTTTTTCTATACTTAGATCAGTGTTTCTCAAATTCCATCTCCTGAGAATGGAGACCATGTTGACAATTACGTTTTTTTGTGTGTAGTAAAATGAATAAACTTAGTGTCGTGTGCGCCAATCTTACAAGGAAGCTTAAGTTCGTAGACCCGTGGTCTCTATTCCCTTTTGAGAACTTGATATCCACTCCGGGGAAACCCCACCCGCTCCAATGAGAATTAATGAGTCAGGAAAAGGGGAAATTTCCCTTTAAAGTTTGCTTTCCTTTCTGTCCTCGGTAATGATGGTAATGTGCCAACACCGATCCCACTACGTTCGATCTTATTTTAATTCCATATTAATGGGTTATAAACTCCATTTTTTTAGGGTAAGCCCGATTTTGTCATGTCTAAAGAATACGGTGACTTTCTGGATTCACTATCTATCATTGATGGACGTCACAGAAATTCTGATTCTCTGACAGAGGAGCCTGTGGCTGGTGGTGTCGGTTGTGCCATTTGTTTTGATGCCGGTCTTCTTGCTCATTGTGGCAAATGTCGTCGGGCCTATCATCTAGACTGTCATCTCCCACGGCTGACGAATATCTGCCTGATTCCTGGTTGGGTTTGTGGCCTGTGTGAGGACCAAGATGCTGCAACAGCTGCACAAGTAGAGAAGTCAGACGAGACTGGGCTTTCTCACACCGATTACTTGGTACGTTTTCGAAGTCTTATTTCTAGCTATCATTGTAGTTAGGAATCGTCTGAAACGTTCATGTGGTGATTATCTTTAGACAAAAGTCAGTGTAATATCGTTTACTTAAGTTGTTTGACCTTCCGCACAGGCACCTGTAAGATAGTCTTCGTTTAGTTCGCATTCATTAGAATCGTGAATGATGCGCACCATACTGACCCGTGCCACTGTATGATTTTCGTTTTTCAGGTTTGGGTGTTTTAGTTTCTGAGCAATTGTCTCTGTTTTCTCCTCGAGGCATGTGTTTACCCGTGTCAAGTTATTTAGTTGTTTGAAAGATTAGTGTGTACGGTTAATATGCGTTGCTATCATCGTTTCTGTCATATTCCTTGTTGATGTATTCTCTCGCGTCAGCTGTGAGGGAATAATCACTTACGTGTATTATGGAAATGGCTATTCACCGTTCTTCGATGGTAGACCTGTGTGGGTTTTCTCTTTCAGACTGGCTGTCGGATTCTAATGGCATTACTTGTTCATGCGGAGGCTGTGCATTTTACAGCTTCCGTTTGTCCAGCTTGCTCCCTCCCGTTGCTGACTCCCGGCCGTTCTGTGCCACATTGCCCCGCTGGACATCTCTATCATCGTCTAGCTGAATTACGACTCCAGCTCGAAGAAGCGGCTTCAGTACAGAATGGTGACCATCACAAAGATGATGACCTAGAAGAACATATTGTTATTGGTAGCCCGCAAGCACTCAAGAATGCACCAGCACGTCTGACGCATCTCGACGACTGGTTGGTGGAGGTCGATAAGTTCTGGTCCGATGCAGCAAATGAAGATAACCAAGTAAGCGAAGATGTCAATACTTTGCCCAGCAAATGGTGCGCTTCAGACAGGCGCAATTCTTTTTAACTTGAAAAAGGCATTAAGAACTCTCCTCATCCGAGTGGGATTATTTTAAGTCTTAACTTCATGAGATTGCACCGTATGAATCGCTTTCTTTCATCGTTCTAGTGCACTTGGTGTCCGGTTTCGCTTCGTCCTGGTTGTGCTCTGGACTGCATATACTTAGTCCAGCTTTTCGTTGCGCGGACGTATATAAATGTACTTCCATACTTTCATTCAAACGCAGATGAAATTTGGGATGGTTAGATTAGTTAGGACACTAAAAATAACGAAGTGTTCTTCGCTGGGCATAACTTGAGGCGACTAAACCAAAACTTTGCATCCATGTGGATAAGGTTTTAACAGTAACTTCATTTTGATAGTGCTAATGAACTGAATTTCACTGTTTATCTTCCCCTCATTTCCAATTTGGCACCTTCTTGCCCCCTCACTTATTAATATGGTATCGTTTGATCGTTCTCACGTTTATGTCGTACTTAGTGAAATGTTCTCACCTGCGATGGCATTAAGTAGCTTAATCAGCTGTCATGGAATCGTATCACTTTAACTAGTTCTTCCTACCGCTCGGTCATAATGTTCGTGTCAGGTTCATTAGCGGTGATCAGTGTTTCACGTTTCCTTCTATCTGGAAACCGCACGACAGAACCAGATGGAATGACTTATCAGCACCCTAGAGCCCATCAAGAAATTGCTCGCTTAATAAACCGATGACTCTATTTTGGTGATATCTTGTACAACCATTGACTAGGCGAGTGAACATGTTTCATGGCTAACCGGTTACTTCGGTCGTCGACCCAACTTATCATGGTCGTCGCGTTCCTTTCCATTTTCACGCAAGCTGTTCATATAAGGATTAAAGGGCATTTCTCTCGGTGTATCTTTTGCCAGAAAACAACTGTGTGTGATCTGCAAAACACCGGGGAGGACGTAGGAAGCCGATAAATGGGACTTCCATAATCACTGTTATACTCCAAGGGTTACCTTGGCTCACTAGGTTTTTATTTGCATACTCTCTTCTGCCCCTTGATGAGGTTTTCCGTGCTCCCGCTTGTTTCTTAAGTTTCGGCCTTCCTGCAGTGGACCTCATAAGGTGGCTCGTATCCTGGACTAATTTCGAGACTGAGGTATTCTCGTAGTGTCCTGCCGTAGTTGTGGGATACGCAAATGACCAATATGGGAGTGTTGCCTGCCGTCACGAAGAATCTGGGCCGCACCGTCGTGTGACTTTCTGTGTACCTTCGTGACCCATTCTGCCATACTTTTCATGGGGCACTCTTAGAGTCTGTCATATCAGGTTGGTCAATAGTTAGGGGTATGACCAATACAGTCTCTAAGTTGAGTTTTGGAACATGCTTGACGGCTTGTTCTTTGATAAAAGGTAATACACTGATAGAAGTTCGAGATAGCCCAGTGGCTGGAGAGCGAGCTTATTGACTGTAAAGTCCGTGGTTCGAACTTCACCACAACACCACTGCTCTATCTAGGCTTGGACAACCTGGCAGTATTTTAGCATTCATGCCTGGCAGCTAGGCACCGAAAGTGTGTTACAGCTGAACGACAAATGCCTTGGCATTTCCCGCCACACACCGCTGTCTTGCTTTCAGGCTTTTGAGCTAAATACTTTGGTTGTGGATCTTAATCGTCCTCCTGTTTAGGTGTGTGCCCCTTGATATTATCCTGACCGCTTACAGTCATGAACTACACAATTGCCGGTAATTTCATGCCCCGTCTCGTGGTTTCATCAACCGGGTCGCCTTACTTGCTGCACACAGCAGGCTGATAAGCAAAAACAGGCCACTACTGATGCCTCCCTTCACATGCTTTTTCTTTCCCCTCCCACCACCCCATTGATAACTCTTTCCATGTAGGGCCACCAGTTGGGACTGATGACCCCATTCGTCTCGCATGGACATCTGTAACATCTGCGCGATAGCCTCAAACATCTCCAAATCAATCCTCAAGCGTCGCTGCCTAGTCTGTTGCTCCTAATGTTTGCACTTTAAAGCAAGCAGGACAACAAGCTGCTCTTTCTCTCACACTAGACGCACTTTTCATTGATGTGCGCTGCGTATTAGAAACAAGAATTCAGGATGTAAGAACAGCGCAGCGAATGGTGAGCGAGTGCTTCAGGTATGTGCTGACCGCAGGCTGCTTTCATTCAGCACTAAATCCCGAAATGACCGAAGCCCTCTATCCACGTGGTGCACTCCAGAAACCTGCCAGCTACAAACCCAAATTGACTACATCTCCATCAGTTACCGATGGTGTGGAGCACCAACTGACTGCCGCTCGTTTTGAACACACGTGGATTCCCACCTTGCCTTGGTCCGGATTCGCTTCTCTGTTTGTTGCATAAGATGCGGACCGATTACTTAGCAACTGAGCGACTAACAGATCCCGAAGCTGGGCAAAATTTATCAGAATCATCTTGTATAGTCTTTTTCAACTGTTCCAACTGAGTTCGTCAGGTGTGAACTCATGTTAGAATAAGAATGTCACATATTTGCGCAGTGCTGGGAGATTTGCCTGTCGCACGCGCCACCAGGCTCACTCAAGCACTGCATATTAGACAAGACCGTTGCACCGCTTGGATCTCAAAGAAGTGCTTCCGCCAATCCCGAACATAATTTGGCGCGATGAATTATCAGACGTCAGGGGAAAGTGAGCGTACACGCCGAATATAATTTGGTGGATATGAAAGGTTAAGCAAATGACAGAGGCGCAGAAAGCCCGGATTGTCCGAAGATAATTTCAGTTCATCCGTGCTGCCGGAAACCGCCTGTGAGCGAAACCATCAAGGATCAGACTTGAACGAACATCTTTAATAGAGAAGAACGCCTCGACCATTGGGCAGACCCTACCTGTAAAAGCCCCATTGTCCCGTATTCTGTTCGATTCGAAACTTAGCCGTGTCCTTTTAAAGATGCTCTCGGTACAAGGCAGTTTGATTCACTATGGTCCTCACTTATGCATATGACTCATGGATATGTTCCCCACTCCTTAGTTGAAATAAGTACTATGTACATAATATATACTGCACAAGACACGTTTAAAAATCGTTCAGTTGTAACACCTGGCTGCCATGCCGCACGAAGGAAGCACGAGGGCTTGGATTCTGGCAGGTTGCCCAAGCCTTGACAGAAGAATTCAAGATTCAGAGGTCATGTTCGAACCATGAACCTTCCGGTCAGTAAATTCGCGCTCTCATCTCTAGGATCATGAGAATTCGGCAGTGATGAGGAATAGAGAAAACTCCGTCTTGTCTTGCCATGACATTCAAGTACGTTCTCTCTTTACAATTTACTTGAGGGATTACAGAAAATGTTGTTTCTAGTGAAGTGTGGTAAGAACAACCACCGAGGGATTTACTCTCATATAGGTGACGCATTTACCAACGTCCGGAGTAAAACAATCTTCTATTGCCTAGCAATAAACCACCGAGGTAGTCAGTTTCACTTTGCTCCGCTATCGAGATAGAAGAATAAGGCTCACAAGGGAAATTACTCACAAGGTTGCTGAAAACTCTTCGGCAGCCCAGGACCGGTTTCCCCCTTCTTGGGGCTCATCAGGTAGGCGCAGTCCCCTAGTTTCCGTCAACCTTATGTTGTACTTGAACCCAAATTGGACTGTTTTCGAGAAATACACTCATTTGCAAATCACTTTGGTTTTCACGAGGGACTCAGCTAAATATCACAAACGAGAGATTCAGTTGAGCCTCTCGTGAAAACCAAATTGATTTGCAAATGAGTGTTTTTCTCGGAGAACAAGGCTCCTTATTCGGTCGATGAGTCGAATTTGACAATATTTTGGAAATACTTTGGCTTATCCTTGTAATTCAATATAAAATACAATTTCATGGTCATTCTATGATGCTGCACCTTCCTGTATTCAGTGAGAAGGCTTTTTTATTGTCATACATATTAGTTCTTAATTTATGAGCAAATTGTCGCCTATGAAAGTGGACTTACTGAAACTCAACTCACATGAAACAACGACAAATGCTTGAAAAAGTGTGAAACTCGATCATCTGAAATCACCGTTTGTGACAAGAGTTACAGTTATTTTTTAATGGACCCAAAATGCACGAAAATCCGTTGTAATAAGATTCGCCTCGTACATTATGGGCCCTTGCCGCAGGACTCGAAAATGGATTGTCGATCACAAACGGTTCTTTGTAAGTGTCCTTTCAATGACAGTCTGCTGTAGTTTGTCGATCACATCATTTTAAATAATTTCATACGAGAGAATGGGACCACACTCATTCTACCCTATCTTATCTGCGTCTTCTATCTCCATATTTTCACAGGTTCGTGGCTTAACAAAAGGTTGTTTGCGTGCAGCTCGTCGGCTGAGAGCCAAATTGGCCACACTGGTCCAAGTACATCGTCCCCAAAGCCAGGCAGCATTTCTAGATGCATTAGCAGACAGCTGTTCGACGGACACCAGCCTTGCCAACAGATCCGATTGCAGGCCATCCACTGAAGAATGTTTAGACATCGATGCCTCAAAGGTATCGTTTCATGTTGGCGTAGACTGAAAGGACTAAATTTCGCTCTCATTTGGCTTTTTTCGTAGTCGCCCCTTATCGAATGCATCATTGCCCATCACTTTTCTTCCCCTATCTGTATTTCCCTGTCTGTGCACGTGCATTTAAAAGGTAACTATCTATTTCATTTCATAGTCTTATACACTTTTTTACAGGAGCCTTTTTGTAAGCCTTCCTTTTCCAAGACACTCTTCGATTAATTGTTGGTTCTCACGTGTAGATTTGTCGATTTGTGGCTCACGACGAACCCCACTCATTTGCTTGCAGTTCGCGGTTTGTCAGTCCAACAAAAACATGCAGGAATAATCGGAATTCGACCCCCCCTTATTCGCAGTGGAATCTTATGGTGATGTCCGTTAACGATATTCAGACAACTGAAACAGTTTGTTAAAAATATCGTTTCAAACGGGTATTATGTAAGACACATCGTTTCGACTATTTTCATGAATTGTCTGGTATCGGATGCATCCACCGATTCCCATCACTTTACCCGAGACCACTGTAGACGAGAAAAGCCCTAATTATCACCATGTTTGTGGTCCTATGGCCTTTACTGCAGCTTCGTCGTCTCCACAATTGACTGTTGAAATGTGACGTTAGTGTGCGGGTGCTACGACTGGCTGAGGTCATGCCACACATTCCAATAATCGTGGTTATACAAGTGCTTTCGAATCGTTCGGTCCAACTGTTAAGACTCAGCAAACTGATGACATCAGTACACTTCGCTAGAATGTCGCCTTGCCAATCTACATAAGCAATTTGGTCAGAGTCGACTCGCGTGTTCCATCGGGCTGTCAACCGGGTAGGTGTGCATCGACCGCCTCAGCACAAACCAGCCGAGCAGTTAGATTATCCGGTTATTACATAATCAGACGCTTCTCTATAATGAATCCAGGACGTTTTATGTAATGTTAGTTTTAGTCTCAATGTTCCTATCCACCGAGATCTGATGACCGCACTGGACTTCGGTCCCGCTTTGTTTTAGTTGCCTACTCATGAGTAACTTGGATTGTGAATCAAATATGTGATGAGCGTGAAGCGCTGACCACAACCACGTGGCGGCCACTGAAATGTGGTCAGTCGTAGTGCTCATTTCGTTCCAGACAGCATAAATTCCCCATATGCTTTTCCCGAGGGAATCAACTGAACCTCTCGTTCATGACACTATTGCAAGTGCACAAAGCCCGCTTCAAGTTTCAGTCGGCACGATATTCGAGATAACGCAGTATATTTTCATAAACGATACCAACTCAGTCATATATCACGAGTGGCAACTTGCAGTTCGAAAACCAGCAGAGAGTTGTTATCGAAAGGAATTCCCCATAAAGGAACCTACTCATAAGGTTGCTGAAAACTTCGATAGCCCACGACGGGTTCCGCCCTTCTTGAGGCTCATCGGGTAGGAGCGGTCCCCAAGTTTCCGTCAACTTTGTGTTTTGCTAGAACCCAAAGTGGACAGGCTTGGGAAAATACATTCATTTGTATATCAATTTGTTCGTGAGCTTTCGAAAGGTTTTCAGCAACCTTATGAGAATAAATCCCCCATATTCACCCAAATAGTGGCAAAACGCCTTCCTTATGATAGCGGCGTTTTGATGATTTTCGCATTGCAAGTTGCCATTCATGATATCTGACTGACTTAGAGTCCTCATCGATCATCTTGAATAGGTGGAATTTTGAAAGCTAACTTTAATTGGCAAATCCATTTCTTTGCAATGAACGGTTTTCATGAGACTTATCGAACTCCATCGAATAAACTTGAGGCTTCGATGATGCTCCGCATCGAAACTATCGACAAATGATGAAAACAGGTTATCTTTACATAATTTCGGGTACAGTCTACTTCCTCAGTAGTTTTTGTCGCTTTTATATTTGAAAATGGTGACGTAACCGGTGCGGATCTCTTCGCCTGTCTGGTTTGCGAATAGATCCGGTTTTCCGTTCGTCATCCTTCGTTATGCTAAGCAAGTTCCTAATAGTATGAGATTCGGGCATTTCACTCGAGACTTCTTCCTTAAAAAATGGAGCAAAACTATGCCGAGAAGTACTGCACAGCTGTTTCATTCTTATTTGGAAACATCAGCAGTGAGTGCCTCACAAATCTTTAGGGGAATTCGAACCCGCTTCTCCCGAGAAACCGTTCGCCCACACCAACAAAATATAAGGATCTCAGTAGGCACAACAAGTGACGGCTAGCGTAACGTTTTAATCTGGGAGGTCGTCGCTGGTGGGTGCGAGTATGTGATTGGAAGATGAATAGTGCTATATCCTGTTGCAATGTTGGTAACCAAGTCTTCGCCCAAAATTTTGTGATTTGACTGGTACACTCCATCGGAGGGTTATGGTTGTGTTAGAAATCTCTACAGAAATCATGACAGTGAGAATAGTAAGAATCGTTTATGGCTTACTGAGTTCGTTTGCTTTCCATCATTTGTTCGCAACACGATGCCTGGACAGATAACTTGAGCTGCGTGATCGATATATATGTCTCCCTCTCCCATTTTTGTTTGCATTTCCTCTGAGTGACTGATTTTCTTCAACGAGATGCGACATTAGAAGCTTCATGAATTGATCGTGCTGACGAGACCGTCTTTTACTCCACTGATATCAGATGCTGCCAGACAGACTGTGTCCTGAGGTGTTATTCGCTACGCACATCTAGTCAAATAAATTACAAGTGACTCGGCTCGAATCTTCATGATTTCTTCTCTTTCGCACTAAATAGCACGCGAATGAACGATTCATTGAATGCCACAGACGAATTTGCTAGCAATTTGCCAAACAAGGAATGCATCTTTAGCCGATGGAAGCAATGTGCTGAATATCTAGCTCACAAATTCAGCTGACTAAGAATATGACAGACGAATCCCAGTCTCAATGGATACATCTTAGAGGCACCGGCAAAAACGTCTTTCTTCAACTGTATCGAAGTTACGAGGTCGAAGTCGGGTCATACGTGACCTACCTGTTGTTTCGCGGTTTGATAGTCCTCATCTGAACACGAGCCTACAGGCACCGGATGAAGAATGCATTTCCTCCCAGCTGGTGCAAATGTTATACTCGACTCAGCCATTCAATTGAATGATTCCTGGCTGCTGAGTACACCTCCAAAATTACTCGTTACTTAGAGAAAGCGGTGAAATCACTCTCAGCCTACTAAAAGGCGCAGTGTCGCACCATCCAGTCACTCGGTTAACCGCCTTCTGTGATTTTGGTTCACCAAACTGTCGGGGGCTCTTTTTCATGCAACACTGCCTGAATTCGGAAACGATATTAAAACGGGTGTGGTGACCTAGTCTATTTACTTTCTTCAGTCGGGTTCATGTGCATGGATCAGTCAAATGTCCTCACGTCTGTGACACGTTCCAGTCCCCCTATCGTTTTACTTGGATATTTGCAGATGGGGTTTTAATAACCTCTCATCTAATTACGATTAAAAGACGTCACTGTTTTGGACAGTAATCCAGAGGAGTTTTACTTTTAAAGTTAGTACTCCTTATAGTACCCTCGCCGTCGTGTCGCACGGTTTTTGATTTTTTGGAAATATTTTTTGTGGAAACACTTAAATTAGCCGACTATACCCAGATTTTGATTGTTTGACAATTATTCTGTTAAACTACATTGACTGTGTAGGCGCTGATCTGTTCATCGAGTTCTTCGAACGCCTCATCAACCTTTGAAAAGACTTGATCATAGCGCCGTTTGATTGATGCAACCGAAGAGAATTCCTCCTGAGTAAGAAACTTATTGGAGTTACATACCGGCTCCCTCAAGCCTTCGCAGTATGGATGAGTTTCATGTCGCTGTATGTTTGGAGAATGTTCATACATCGGTTTTAAACCCTAACATGAATGGGACCCAGCATTCGAAATCAAACAAATGCGAGGAGAGAATAGTCCTCCTTCCTCTTCTGAAAGAAAGAACTAGGGTCAGTGAGATTGAGAAGCAATGTTGTGAACGTTTATCAGATGCGTGGAATATGATCTCGGATGCCTTCTAGTCAGCGGTGAGCGAAGAACTATGCAGCTTTTAGCTGACTGTTTAGGATACTATTCGCGTATAATGTGAGCATCATGTCCACCTGTATTTTGTTGCCTTCTAGGGAAACCTATGGTTTCAGTGGCCTACTGATGACTGATTTCAAAAAGCGCTCCACTGTTTTAATAAGCCAAATATCCAGTTATGCATTGATGTGGAGCTCGTGCTACTTAGTTGAGGATTCTGCTCTATCGATGGCCATCATTTCGAGTCAGTAACTGACTGAATGCTAGTGAGTCAGCAACGTCTGCTTTTGCATCAGAAATGAGGTCTCCATCCGTCCGGTAAGCAAATATGCTGCCATCAGACTGCAACTAAACCAAGGGCTGGCTTGCTGCGTACGGGAATTTCGACTGCTAACATGTAAACGTTTCTGTTATGCGAGTAGCTAACAGGCGAATTCCACTAATGTTCGTCGCGCACACATGAAACCTGGTGCTAATGCGGAAATGTGGCCTTACCCGTAGCTCACTCTGGTGCGTGACTAACCTGCTTGCATCTGTTGCGCGTCTGTGCGGTGCACTGTGTACTCCACAGCTGAGCAAAACCCTTGGGTGTCGTCGAAATGTGTGCTGTGTGAGAGGGGTTCAGTTCGATTTCACGAAGGCCTTGGTAACTGATTGTATTTTGCTACATTATTACAGTCTGAAGGACTGGTTGTGTTAAACAGCGAATGACTTTAGCCTTGTGTGCATTTCTCTGGTATTACACCAGTGAACAATACAAATTTAGTGCTCTCATGGCAAATAAACCTTTGTATGGACCAGTGTATAAATCATGAGGCGTGCGACTGAATTTTGTAGCAAAATGTTTATCAGACGTAGTAGTTCACCAACAATTCTACTTCATAAAGTGGTCGATCCCTGATACAGCTGTATGGCTGTGCATAAAAATGTGGCAAACTCTCTACCAAGATCGATTTTTCTGGAAGTTTTTAGGCAGCAAGTAAGAGGATGTGTCGTACGTAGAATTACGTACGCGGTGTGGCTTTCAATCGGAAAGCCCATCAGGATCTGTAGCCTAATTGCAGTAATTCGTTTGTGAACCCTGCTAACATTGATATCACCTTCAAATTTGCGTGCATGCGTCGTTATGGTTTCCTCCAGAGGTGTCTATACCGTGTATGCATTACAGCTGCTGCGAGCGTGGTCGCAGCTGTTAAGTCCAACAACTGTGCAGGTATGTACGGTCGATTTTGTCTCCTTCCTCGGTCTACCAGCTGTAATTGGTGACCCCGAAGTAGCTCGAAAATTGTCGGAATACTTACTAATTTGTTGTGAACGAGGAAAGCCGATATGTTTATAAAAAAACGCTGTTTCCAGCGTTTGCAAAGTTTACAGAAAAATGCGCATAAAATGCGTTTACTAATCATAGGTCATCATTGATTAGAAAAACTTGTTTAAATTGTAGTTCGCGAGACTACTTAGCCTGCTCGTATACACACGCGCACAGTCCATGCGTTTTTGTTCCTGTGTGGACGAGATCTTGGCCAATAACTTCTTGACCATCTCTTCAACTACTTCTCCCTGTCAACACGTCAATGGCAATTTTTACGGACGAGTAAAGCGAGTAAGGCATGACAGGGTGATCCCACCAGTATCTATCTTTTGATCAGTCCTAGAACAGGTTGAATGCTTCAAAATGGATACCTGGTGCGTTTAGGTGTTTGAGGGTGTGGTTCACATCACCTATGCATGTTCGACAGTCTAGCAAGTAAATGGTGAGTCACACGATTAATTGTCATTCAGCTGTTGTGTCGTCCGGCATTCAGTTCGCAGGTAGAAAATGTGATATTTCGCCACAAATCACTAAAGGTTGGATGGTCTTACGAACACATCACTAAAACAGTTTGCTTTACTAGGTTCGGTAATCGTAATTTCAATATTTCGGGTTGGTCGGAACGTTTAGGTGAGCGTTTGATCACACTGTTCTTTTATGAGTCATTCAGTTCAACTCGCTTTCTCTTACCAGTTGAATGATTCGCTTAACACTGTAATGGGGTGCGCACACGAAAGGTTGAAATACTTCGGTCGCGTCAACCGCTGAATACCGTCTTGTAGATAAATATAAGTGCAAGTGGAAACCACATTTATCCTGTGAGGAAATTGGAACAAAGCAGTCTAGTCGCGAAGGTTTACTCACCTATGTTGATGCCATGCTCTCCATCGAGTGTTAGAATGCCTGAAAGTTACGGCAGGTGTCTTGTTATTTATGTTGCGTCAGGCTCTAACCGGCTGTCTGCATACAGTACTTTGGTTACCATTACGGTCGTCATGGACAGAAATACCGACTGTGAATACTGAAAGAGATCTTTCTCGAAGAGAATCTACCACATATGAGTCCACAACGGGCCTCCCCCACCGTATTTTAGTCTGGTAAACTGTTTGGATTCTTGTTAACCTATCTGAGCGGAAAGCAAAAACAGACAAATCGTTCAGCTGTAACACCCCTCCGGTGCCTAGCTGCCATGCTACCCGAAGGAAGCACGAGGGCTCGTATATTACCAGGTTGCCCAAGCCTGGACAAGGGAAGTCGAGAGGCAGAAGGTCGGGTTGAACCATGGACCTTGCGGCCAGTAAACTCGCGCTCTAAATATTTTAGCCATTTGAGCGGAAAGCATTTGTTACTAATCAGCAGTAGATGTATCTTATTACGATTTTAGCTTTTATTCATTTCATTTCATTATATGTATATGGATATGTGTATGTATAGTTGCTCCGTTTTCTCATTTTGTTCAATAGTTTATCGAGCGTACAGGAAGCTGCCGTGTGAGTAAATGTCCATTCAGCTCAAAGTGGTTTTCAGGTGCATATGTAGTTTGCAATTAAGGACCAGGGTTTACATATCGTTCCTGGAGAGGTCAGTGTTATCTGTGTTTCAGAATGCAATATTGGGTAGTTGACTTTAGAGCTATCTCATTACAAACTGGAGGCTGCTGGTGGAGTAGGAACCATCTGAAAAACTGTGTGAGATTCTGTGGGTTCCCGTAACTCTTCAATGCTATAGATTTGTATAGTCGTGCGTTGGCGATGTCTCCTCGTATACTACCGATACTTTTGTAGGCCAATTGCCAAGCTCAGCAAACAGATCAACTACCACCTGATCAACTTCCAGGATGAATGAAGATTCCGACTGGGCCGTTTTGCGAACCGCAATTAGGGCAAGCGTGACAAACGAATGACGTTAGTCAACTTCAGGCAGCCTATCGAACTGCTGTGGATGGATGAATGCAGCAACGGGACCATCACCCCAACAGGAATCACATAAAGTTGATGCGAGCGGTACGGTGTCGATGCGTCTCGCCGTATTGTCTACCAGAAGGAAAGTTGCAGTTACCCTGGTGCATTGGTTGGCACAACTTATTGAGTTACTCTATAGAGTGACCAGTGAGCACCAACTATCTCCCTCGTGTCAGTTTGATGTGTGGATTGTGGTCCGATAACATCTTCTTTCTCCCCTCAACTTTGGGTTCGAAAAAAGTTGGGCAATTTGTTTCTTAAAAGGTAAATTACTCTTGTAACCATATACCAACTACGACCGTGTTGTAGCGCTAATATTGAGCTAGAAGTTTTGGTTTCGTACTGTGCTGGTTTTCCTGTACAGATTCAGGCGACCATACAGCAGTTCAGATGACACACAAAAGTGACATGCAAAAATAAAAATTGTTTCAAGACGCGTCCGTCGTATCTTCAGGCGGGTTGCCTAACTTGTCACTACGTCAAGGCCGGTATGGGCCTTGTCTCTTACAATTTAACTTTTCCCTTCTCTGTTGCCACAACCATTTGAAGGTGAACTCTCAAAGGGTCTCGTCCTAGGGGATGACAGCACCGTCCACTTTGGGGTGCGCACCAGTCGGCACCGAAAACCTCAAATGCGAGGGTATCAACGTTCAAACCCCACGAGTCTCAGTTCAGCTGGCTGTATTGATGTTCGCACTCTGAAACGAACAAGAAAACAGATGGCTATTGTTACTGTACTGGGATCACTTTTCCTTGGCGCATTCTGTGTCCGAAATGCATGATTACTAAGCTGGATACCCCGACACTTTTCTTGCTTCCGAGCTTGTGTGGATACCTGCTGACAGTCATTTTCGTTCCTTATGTTTGGCATCATCAGTGAGAACATCTTGCTAATGGTAAAGGACAGATTACTGTCACTTTATTGTCCTTACATATGCCTCAAAAAGTCGTCTGACTGTGTCCGAGATGGCGTTTTCGATCAATTGAAAAGATCCAATGACTCATACATAATTCGAAAATAATGAAACTTAACTAGGTTTATTATGCTTCATTGGACTAGTAGTCTTGGATTAGGTTTGAGACCCAGTGAAAGTTTTGAGCGTCTCTTGCAATTAGTCAGTTTTGCAGCGGAGATTTCTTGAGAAGTCGATATCACTTGTGTATATGATGACCCGTCACCAGCTAATGGTTGGATGGATCAATTATCAATTGCCTTTCGCTCTTTAGCACGTGTGGAGACTCAGACCACGAGCTCGCATTATGTTGTTTCTTCATACGCTTTCTGTGCCTCACAAAACGTTCATTCCTCGGGATTGCCCGAACGGACACGAAACAAGTATGCCAAACAACCTGGTTTAAAAAAAGTTTAAAGGACGCGCCTACGGATTTCAGTTCACAATGAAGCATGAACTTCCTGATGCTGCACAGCGTTGGCACTGCTAAACGGGCCGTAGACAATTAGTCCTCAGCTAGGTATTGGCTCTAGGATAAAACTACGACCGGCTGTATCCCCGTAATAATGTAAACCAATGGGTTGGAGCGGCATGTGATTTTCCAAGTCTGGAATAACAATTGGGATTCACAACGGGTAGGGTTTGTATTATTATTATCTTGGGGTATTATATCAACTCTATAGGTATGGGAGACCCGAGTTTCGGCGTTCCTTGACTTTCACGATAGGTTGGATTTTACTGACCAGTCGGTTTTCCTAAATACACTTGCTCAGCAGAGTATGGCACAAAACTTTGCCAAAATACTTTACCATTTACATAGCTGTATGTTTGTGCGAGTGTATAAGATGCTCCCCAAGAACTTTCCTACCACAGGTTGTTCCACAAACACACCTACACTCACAAGACACGAGTCTAATTTGCTGGTGTCGCTGTTGTATGGTAACGAGCACATGTCTATGCAGCCAGATGATTTAAGATACCTTAAATCCTATGATAATGAACATGTCAAAAATACTGATGTCAATGAATTCTCGGTGACTGCTGGAGAAATAGCTTCTGGTTGCATAGCAGGTGCATTTATTCAGGATTGGATCCAATGGAATAAATCATGACAGCTTGATCATCTTTTGCGGCGGACAAAATTTGACTTACTTGACTTCCTGGTTTGAACCCACATGGCCTTCCCTGCAACTGAAGCTGAAAGGTCATCGGCCTCGACGACCTTCTTTTTGGCATTCAAGATTCAATCCGTCTAAATAGATGTCTGGATTAGGTTAGCACTGAGCCAATCTCCTATTCCGTTTTGTTCCTTTCACCTCAAAACTGTTTACTGATTGATAACTGTTATACGTGTAGTGCCAGCCAAACGCCTTTTGGTGACGAAATAATCTCCTTCGGACGATGACGTTGTCAACTGTCGCTTTGACCTTCAATGATGCCTGTCAGCTGTCAAACAAAAATTGCTGATACACATTAAGTATTCTTTAAGCTGTGATGAATGCGAATGGCTCTATGGTTTTGTTGCCAGCTGGAGTAACAGGCAAACTGTGCAAAAAAAAAACTGAAGACTTTAGCGAACGAATAATTTCTGCATTTTTCACATTTTTATGCTATTTACTGTGGATTGTGCACATAACCTCTGGTTGGAGGAAGATGGGACTTGCCTTGCTATGCTTTCTTCATCTTGGTCTTTCTTCGGGAGCTGAGAGTACTGTGTTGAGAAGAGTAAACCTCTGATAGCAGAAAGGGGAGCCCAGTCGTAGACTACTGTTTAAATTCACAAGCGCCTACAAAGCCGTTAGATCTGAACAGGAACCGACATCCAGACCTCATTGCAATCGGTCAACGATAAAACACTGGTGCGTCGGATGAAACACAGGATGGCTCATAAAGAGGCTAGGTCATTAGAACACTTTACTCACTCACATTTCAGTCGAGTTCCTGCAATCTTGGTAAATTACATTTGTGTTTACTGGTGAGGAAACATCTTTTATACCGACATTCATGATGAAGGCTAGCTTTTCCTCCTGCGTTTTACGAACAGGAGTGGTTCTGCTTCAAGAATGCATCCAAAACGTGAATAAAGCTGTCTTAGCCTCAAGGAGGTTGAAGTAAAGGCGTAAAGACTTCATCAAAACACCATTTGTCACTTGTGTGCTGCAATGTTTGAAGTAGGTACTTCTGGTTAATTGTGGTATATGTGAAAGGTATTGCTTTGTTATCCAGAAAAATGGTTCGGTTGGGTCGGTTTTCTATCGGTATAGTATACGGTATGGACGGAACTAGTCGCCAAACAGATTAAGGCATATAATTCCACAGATTACGTGGTTTTGCTCAGCTACCATGCAGACGTTTTCGTGGTGCATTCATTTCTGTGACAGAAATGTGGCTCAATTGGGAACAGCACCGAAGACGTGTTGCATAAAAAGATTTCCAGTCAGGTTGGAATAATGTTCCTCAACTGCAAGCCACTTTTCACCAGATCACGGAAGTACTCTAAAAAAATTAAAACATGTCCGAAAAGTCTAATTTTTATGAATGTACGAATTTATCACGGAGCTTCAAGAAAATGGAACTTGTATAGATTCCATGTTTTGTCGTTACTTTCTATTAAAATGCACACGCGATCGTCACCATTGATCACCCTGCCACAGCCTAACTGACGATGACAGAAGGTAAAAATAAGTTCCATTTTTTGAGTCCCACAGATTTACTTTTAGCCCTGTTGCAATTTTTTGCCGAATACCGCAACATCTGGACAAAACATGTCGGACAATACCAAATCAATACTCGGATCTATATTAAGGTTCTGACTGGAAGATTAATTCGAAATGAAATTTTATTGCGTGATGAAGTCCATCGAGATAACGTTTTCCAACATTTTGCTCCATGAAAATGGAGATGAGAATGAGATGTATACATGGAATTCTACTTTCTACTGACCGAGGCTTTTTTGACATATGGACGGCTATGTTCTGAAACTAATTGTGTGTTGACTTCGAACTGTTGTGAACTGACGCCAGAAAGTAGATACTGAAGACCCACTACCAACTTGATGGATTCATACGATGTCGTTTATTTCAAAGAGATAGTACCATACTGAAAACTATTTGAATATCTCACGGAGCGCAAAAAGGGATGCGGTTGACAGGAACAGCTCTTCTGCGTCTGTGGTCTTAAGCATTAGACAAATGGGATCCCAATCCGAGCACCTCAACGGAAATTCCCTTTTGACTCGTATATGTGTTTGACTGCACTAACACCGTGAATGATTTTGACCACATCTTACAAATTTCCGCCTCTTTGTAAAAGTTGCGATGAAATCCTCGCTGAGATATATTTTCTACACCCCTCTCCCTCATTGTTACA